AGGGGGCGTTCCGGCGCTTTTGGGCGCTTTTGAGCAAAGTCTGGCCAAGGTCTACCAGTACTAACCCCGAAAAGCAAAAGAAACGATTTTATAAAAACAACTGTTTGTTTATATTTTCAAAAAGCATTTGCAAAAATAAAAACAAAAATGACTGACGGGTACAGTTGTCGATAGCTACCGTCGGGTTGCAGAGTAGGTCCATTACGTCCATGGCCGGGTAGACCGCGATTCCAATAACTTGCACTGCATAGACGTATCTGTTGATGCATATGCAACGACATTATAGGGGCTAAAAATGTCGATTCACAAAAACTAAACCGTAGTAAGCCTCTACCGACTTACCTATGTAACTAGTATACTTCTGAGGGATACTGATAGTTGTTGGTTTCAGCAGATCTGTCACTCCATCCAGACATTCTGGGCTAAGTTCGTTATCGCCAAAAGACCCCAAAAGTTCCGAAACTATGATGTCAGGCTGTGGATAGTCATTCTCTCTAGCTATGCTGGGAACATTTCGCATGTCCGATTCAATGATTACACAGCGATTACGCCAGCTGAAAAATAACACGAGAATGCGCAACAAGTGCAAAAAATTCGAGACATAACAACTGTAAAAGATGAAGATAGGTTTAAGATTAAAAAACCCACACTTTTGAATTCATATACCGTAGTGTTACTATGGCATTAGGATTCTTCTCTACAACGTATACTTTCAGTCGGAGTCGATCCCTTTTACAGCGAAAACGCTCATTATAGTTCCGCTCAGCCTCCAGCGAACATGTAACCCAAAAGCATACATAATAGGTGATTGTAGATGTCGGCGAAAAAAACTGGCCTTACCAATGGTCCCCGTCCAGCGCCAAGGACATACAATACAAGCTCTTCCGGTCGCGAAGACGATTCACCATAATCTCGGATAGCGCTTTCAACGGCTTCACGATATCGTCTATATTTGACAGGATCTTGCTCGAAAGTGTTGTACACACTCGAGTCTAGGTTATCAGCTAGAGGCTGCAGAGGAACCTTAATACTGCGATGCTTGCAGTGTAATCTTATCAGCGAAAGGCTAAAGCCACACCTGCAAAACGTCGACATAGTTGATGTTAGCATCTACGAGAAATCCGGAAGACGTGAGGCCTGTAGGTGTTCTATTTACATTCCGAACTATAGCACGTAGGGCCTGAAGTAAGGACTATAAGATTATCGACGCTATATTATACGACACTCTCTGCATTAGATATCGAAAGTCAACATTTTAGACTGTAAAATCTTTGCTTATTTCATTCATTCGCATCACAGTATCCGGATTCTAGAGTCATATTTAGCCCTCAGTGAATACTAATGCAAGCATTTAAGGCAGCGTCCCCTCAGGCCTAAGGCATACCTCACGCGATTCCAGTCGCGG